TTGTTGAGACTGTTAGTTTTGTTATGTAGACACTGCTGTGATGTATTTATATTTTTATGAGAATTTATGTTGTGTTTTTGTGGTAATAATTGTAACTGTGTTGTTTAGTGTAGTTAGTTAGTCTTTGTTGAACTTAATTCTGAATCTTAGGAATGTTTAAAATATTGCTAACTTTAACTTAAAAACTTCATGTTTAAGATTTTCAATTTACTACCAGATATTTTATTTATTTATGTTTTTATTTATGTTGTAGTTGTGTATGCTTGTTAGTGTATTTGTTTGCTCTTATGTTATCCTCCACTGCATAGAAGTCTAATTAATCTCTATATGCTAAGGAAAGTTAAAATTTGATCAAAATTTAATTTTTACTCCTGTTTTTAATTTTTGTACTTGTATATTTAGGATGTAAAAATTCTTGCAAGCATGTTATTTTTAGTTTTCATTCATGCCTATTTATATGATGCTAAAATGTTTTATCTTATTAAAAGTTAAAGTTTGGGGGTGATGGAAAATTTTCTAAAAATTTAAAATTTATTTGTTCTCAAATGTACTTAAAATAAATTTGATTTTGATTTAAAGAAAAATGATCATGTATATGAAGTTATATTAGAGAAGCAAAATTTTGAATATATAAATGAGTAAGATAATTTAGTTAAAATTTATAGTAATGAAGAAAAACTTAAAAGTTAAAAATTTTTAGTGTGGAAATGATAAATATTATGTAACTATCTTTAGTAGGAAAAATTGTATTTTTGAAAAATGTAGAACAATTAGACTTTTATTTTCAAAACTTACATTTTTTTTTATTGAAAATAACTTTAAAAACTATTATTATGTTTTTAAGAAAAGGAAATATATTAACTCTTTACTTTAGAAAAGAAAGAGTGGAATTCAAAATCATTAAAAGCCTATTCAGATATAGCAATTCTTGCCTGAAAAAGAAAAGAAAAAAAAAAGAAAAAGAAAGAGAGAAAAAAAATAAAAGAAAAAGAAAAAGAAAAAAGAAAAGTTGAAAATGGAGGAGAAGCTTGAGGATGAGTGCCTAATAAAAAATTAGTTTCACATTAGATCTTTTTAAAGTATAAGACTTGAGAAACTCTTAAGCTTAATGATATAATGTAGTAAGTAAAATTATGCTTAATAAAAATTTTTAAGTGAAGAAGATAAAATGCATAAACTCTATATTTGGAAAATCTACAATATTTCTGAATTAGATAGGAATTCTATTAATTATTGTTACAAATATTTCCACTTTACAAAGGGTGAAGGGAACAAAAAAAAGGGAAGAGAGACTTCAAGCTCGAGAGGTCGAAGAACTACCCTCCTCGACGGATTTCTCTCGGCCTCTAGTAGGTTTCTTAACGGAAGGGGATGGGTTTGATAACAACTTGATAAACTCGTTTAAGTTTGTGTATTTTGAATCAATTATCCCAAGTCAAACAAATTGTTTGATGGCAAACTCTGAGTTGAGTTGGAATTGATGTGCCCATTCTTTTGCTTGCTCTTCAGTTGTAATTGATGAAGCGACCTTCACAGACAATTTGTCGTTTGCCTCGAGCATGTTTGAGAGTCGTTCTTAGGCCCTCACTTCTTCTTTGAGGCTAGCTTCAGCCTCATCTGCCCACCACAAGGCCTTCTTCAGATAACCCTTCATAACTTTAGCCATCTTCTTTGTCCTCACCATCAAGTCCATGATGTCAAAGTACAAGCTAGATAGATAATGGGACGACACCATCCACAATAGCTGATATCTACCAATCAATTGGCATAGCTCTAAGGGGATCATTTCATTCAACTTCTCCTTAAAAATTTCAGACCAGAGAGCTTTTATGAGCTTCAAGGTGTGGGACTCCACTCTTGGGCCACACCAACGCCAGTCTCGCTGAAGGTTGATGAGTGCAAACAAGGAATCCCTTGAGGTAAGGGATTTCACCCCTCCTCCTGCATCAGGATTCACTCACCACTACCTCTGGGGATGGAAGAAAAGGGTGAACCCTCATTGCCCACGGGTTCTTTTGCCCTCCTTTGTTGAGATCCCTCAAAAATAGGGGAACTACTCTTTGTCTTGGTGCGAGAGGTAGTGTTGCTCAAAATCTTCTGGATTAGACGGTCATGTCAGAAGTAGAAATCAGGAACTCTGAACCTGAAAACTTCTCTCAAAGAACCTTCTTTCCCTCCAACGACTTCTTTGTCCTTGGCTTCTTTGTGAAAGCCTTTACTGCCTTGTCGATTCATCACTCGGACTCCTCAACATTTGAAGCAGGCCGCAGCTCTCGGGTCATCCAACCAAACTTGTGAGGGTTCAAAACTATGTTGACTATGTCTTTGCAAGTGTACTGGACAACAGAAAGGCTCTTCTCTTCAACAAATGATGCTAGACTTCACAACTAGGGAGGGAACTTCTGTCACTTGTATGGCTCTACAGATAGGTGAGTAAGAATTCACCATTCCTTCACCAATGCCACAAGGAAGTGACGCTTCCAATTCTTCACTTTATTCACCAAGTTAATCAATTGGATTTTTCCATTCAAAGTAAAATTGATGTAACCGTCAAGATGACCCTAAAGGAAAACACATGGGAAAATAACTCTTGCGATCAAGTTATCTCCATTTGACGATAATAAATGTTGAAGTTCATCACTATTGCTATATAGTTCCTCTTCAATTTTGCCAGCATGACACCATAATGGTTTAAAATGGACCAGAGCTTGCGACAGAAGGGAGTCAAAGCTCCAAAATGAATTGATCACGATATAACATAAGGCACCCATCTTAATCATCATTCACCAATCGTTTGGCCACAAAACCACCAACACTATGCCGTATTTGTAGACATACTACTTCTAAGCTTGAAACCTCGTTGGAAGACAAGATAGAGCTCTTTTAAGAGCACACTTTTCTGAACTTCTTAAGTGAATATTTGGAAGCTATGGGATGCAGTAAATGGGAGTGTGAATGAGGAGAAACAATCAAAATATTCAAAAAGAAAGAATAAAGTCATAGAGGGCCGCTAACCCTATATATAGGGTTTGGAGCATAAGATAAAAAGAAGCAGGCCGTACCTAGGGAACACAAGCCTCCGACCACATCAAAAAAAGAAAATTGAAATATACGTGTTAAATGAATGACTCGTAAATCGAATAACAAATTTTATGTTCATTTGGATAAGAAAAATTTTACAACCAGTCGATCAGCCGTCTAAGACGCAACTAACCCACACCTTAATAACCATTTGCATAGAACCCGACCACCTAACTTAAATCTTTCGACACTGTTAGCCTTGATCTGAAACCTAGAGACTGAAAAAGCCTCTTAAACATTCATCAGATCCATACACAAGTGCACAACCTCCATTTGGAGGACCATAGTTTTGTCCAATGATACGTCACATCAGCCTTGAGCTTGAGTATCCCGTCGACAATTTCTCATAAAGAGCATTCAATTGCACTTTCAACTCGTTTATATTGGCCTCCCATTGAGCATCGACCAACTTTCGAGCTTTGACCTAACTGACAAAGAAGTCTGTTGTCTTGTCCATTCGATAAACCACAAAATTGGTTGAATCTCTTTCAGTGACCACCGATTGGTTCCCTTAGACCTTATGAGGAGTTGACGCCTGACCCCTAAAAACCTCTGGTGAGTCAAAAATAGGAATGGGATCGGCTGCACAAGAAAAGAAAGGTCAAGGCAGGCTGAATAATTGCCTTAACTAATAAACCAACAATCATAATCCTGCCAAGGTGTCGACCCACCTCAGACTAGAGCAAGGATGAGGAACTCTCACGAGGCATGTGTGGAGTGCCCACAACTCTCATCTCTTCAACATGAGGGAGATTGGTATTGCCCTTGTTCTTAGGCGACACACTCTTTGGAGCCCGCCAAACATCCCCTTCCATTCGCTCTCCTATGATGACTGATGCCCCAATAGGAGTAGCGATCAGGCCTTTCCCGAATTTTTGCCGCACCAAAAGTACATCAACTGATGAATCAACTTCATCACTGCCCCCATCTAAGGGTTCCTTCTTGAAAACAAACTATTTTATTCTTTTATTCTTGGTAGGTTGGTCACTCTTGAGGCACTTTCCTCACTTGCAGATCAAACCGACAAAAGTATGATGACTCTGAGCAACAGGGAGCAAAGCAAGAATCTTCTCAGTAGGTCACCCGAAAGCCTTTATCAGGATGTCATCCATTGGTCCTCTTGCAGCTCGCCATCATAGCACTCACAATGAGGAGTGATCAAAGCTCTGAACTAAGAATAAATGCTGAAGCCACGATCTCTGATGGCAACCTATTTATAGAATGGTGGTACACGAAAATTCAGGGAATGTAATTTTTAAATGTTTATTTGAAGAATTAAAGCTGCATTTAATGCAATATTTAACTTTCTCATTTTTGTCATAGGTATCTCTTTTAAAAAACAATAAAGTTGGGAACTAGATATGTGTGACCAGATCGTGGCAACACATATCTCGATGCAAAGCTGAGGAACATGCAAATATAATGGGTCCACAGTTAACTCATAATGGATCCAAGTCAACAAACTAAATCGAACGATCAAGAAATTTAATGCAAAAGTCAGGAGATTGTCATATAGTCCTGTTGAATCATTCGCCCAGTCAACGAGCTAACCAACATTGGTACCGACGAAAGGAGCCCACAAGGTGGGCCGAATGAAAGATGCTTTTTCGTTCAACGAACGAGGCAAAAAAACTAGAAGTTGAGAATAAGCCATGGGCATACCCAACCGGAACCTTTATACTGTATTCACATGATTAAATATACTCGTCGAGCTGACAAGTACAAGTTGATGAATAAGAATCATACCACCATTAGATAATAATTAATTATTAGCATGATTAAATGTATTATATGACCTCGATACCCCCACATTCCTTCACATAGGAAAGGGGTCTAAAGGTATTTATGTACTCAAGGTATCTCCTATACCTATAAATATGAAGTCATTCCATAATAAAAGATTATAGACAATGGTTTTCTGCTGTTCATTTTCCGGAAAAAGGGGAAACTGATTCGCATGTTATCATTTTTCTTTTGTAAACTAGTGACAGTATTTTGAAGTCTCAAGATCCTACAGCGATAATATGGTTCGAACGTAGCGGCTGTAGACCGCAGTTCGGTGCTGCTGGCGATTCACTTATCTTGCAAAGATTTTTGCCAACCCATGTCTTCTCCGATCGATCACACTTTGATCCTGCTCGTTCTCCTCTTGCTTCCCCTCAACCTTCTCTCCTTCGTCAACCGTTCTCTCCGGCGTGCCGATGGGCGGGAAGCTTGCTACTTCCGTCCTGCGATCATTTCCGCTCTTCTTATCTCTCTCTCGACGATCCTCGCTTTCTCCGAACTCGATCCTTCCCCGTCGAAGCATCCGAGTTCTGATTTGAAGGAGATGAAGGTCCAAGTCACAAAATTGGGTAAATTTAGCAGTCTATCTCTCTTATTTTTTCAGCTTGATATGATTTTGGAGAGTGGGAGGAAGCTTTGGGTTTATATTAGATTTTGTCTGATCTTTTTTACTTTGATTTGAATTGAGGGCTTCTAATATTGGAGTGCTTGATATTACTCGGTACAGAGACCCTTCTGGAGGAAAAGACTATGCTCTTAAATTTCAGAATCCTTGAAATTGAACAGAACAAAAGGATGATTGAGGAGATGGATAAGAAGATTGAATTTCTGCAAAAGACATTAAATGATGTCAAGGTGCGATTTTCTTATGTAACAAAAATACCGTTCGATGCGTACCAAACAATTCTCAGTATTTATATGTCTAACACTTAAACATTAATATTAACCTATTTAGCATTTAAAAATTTATTGTCAAATCAAAATATTTCTAATTGTTGAATCTAAAAATATTATGCGCATCACACCCAAGAGTGTTAGACAGATGAGAGGATTAGAGGTAGAAAGGACAACAGATTGTACAATAACACATATATTATGAGAATGGATTCAGTAGTCATTTTTTTAAGAAATGTTCCCCCTATTTCTATATCATAGGGAGTGTCTATTAAAATTCATATTTGCGTCCGTTTTAATAGGAACTCTACTAATGATTAATGAACCAGTAAACTTTTATATATTTGTAATTGATTCCGGGATTTTTTAATATTTTTAACTGCCATCGACACCGTTTCGTATTCATAATTGTTTGAAGTGGGATATTAATAATCCACTAATGATAGCATTCGACCGTCTAATAATCTTTTGGTTGGCTGAAAGTTCTTTGGTCGGCTGGAAGGTCTTTGGCCAGCCTTTTCGAGAGAACTTATTGTTAGGATGAACTTAGACCATCAGGTAGAGGGTGTGTCGCCATAATCTGATGGGCAACTCTCCTTCGGACAAGAGGACTTCATAGATGGTTGGAAAGATGTTTTAGGGAGCAACCATTGGTTTTCTTTTGAATGATCGCATAATCAGTTGAGGGAGTTAATTACACACCCTCCTCAGATCAGGTTCATAATATTCTTTCGTTTGGCTATGCTTTCCTTAGGTCGACCCATAATTGTTTAAAGTTGTTTTGCTAGATGACACCTGTGTGTATGACACAAGCATCGTGCTCGAGTCGGTGAAATTGGAGATTCAGGCAACTGATTACTTGGGAGATCTAATCTTCTACAAGGACCAGTTCTGGTGAGCACTTTAGCTGCCCTTCTGTCTTGAGATCGGGTAGATACTAATTCACTACGGAGTTATCCCCTCCCAAATCAAGCTAAACTCAATCACTACGGTGATGACTTACGTGGTTTACTTGCGTTGGATGGAGATCCCATAGTCTCGAGAGATGTTCTCCCGCATGTTCTCCTTCAGGGTGGAGACGGACGGTATAGTCTTCGGCTCAACCCGGATGTTTCTTCTGATAGATTTGGAGAACAAGATAAATGATTGGAAATTTCAATTCCTTCGGGGTGCTTGCGAGAATTGGGGGATTGTCACCAGGCTGACTGGAGGACCATACAAGAAAAAGAAAGGGCTTCCACTATGAATCAAGGCGCTCGAGTTGACTACCTTTGGAAAACATATGTTGGTGATTCAGTATACCGAGCTCGTGATCGTTAACTGGGTGCTGAACCTCGCCAAGTAAAGCCCTATGACTCCTGTGTTGTGGGTCGCCTCTGGTGCGACGGAGGCAAAGAGGCAGTTTGATAAGCCTACTTAAATTTTGAAGAAAAACCTGAGAAAGAGGAAGAGAAGCCGCCCTTCTCTATAGAGAGGAGAGGCTTAGGAAGAGGAAGAGGAAGAGGAAGAGGAAGAGGAAGAGGAAGAGAAAGAGGTTGACCTAACAGGCGGAACGACCACAGGTTCAAAACTAATACACTGTCTCCAAAACATGTTATTCAATACAAAGTCACTGGAGAATTAATATTAATCGAATGGAAACCTTCCTTGACGAACTTAGGGGATTCGAGGGACTACCGCCGAGAGGAGTCAAATTCTTCCATCCTTGGATTGGTGGCTGAGGAGTCCTCCGAACGCCCATCAGCATAGGAAGCTTCCTGATAACCTTGAGCTACATTCCTCTAACTGAAAGAGGGGAGGCCGACAAACCCTCTCATCGATCCTCAGTAATTCTAGATGATCCATTCGAGGCAGTGAGTATGGAATAAAGCTCGGGAGAAGAGGAACTTAATATGGCGGAAGAGGTAAAGCGACAGCTGAAAGGCAAGGCTCAGCTCAAGATTTTGCACTTCTCTTCCCTCACCTCCCAAGAAAGGTAAGGCGAGCAAAGATCATTAGAGTCCATTACAAGAGAAACGTCTGAAGGTCTTTCTCAATTTGGAGTCTAGTCGCATTAATGAACGTAGAAAGAGATTGGTTTTCTCTAACCCTAGAAACGACTGAACACGCCTCGACCATCAGAGAATTTCTTTGGTTGGCGGGCCTTGAGAAGCATTCGAATAATCTTTGGCCCATGGAAATATGCCATTGAGTCGATCGATTCCAACAGCTCGATTTTGCTGCAACGTACCATTTATTTTTCCTTTACCTGAACATAAGGGATAGGGCATTGAAGGCGGAGGCAAAAGCGAAGAAGTTCAAGGTGCATGGGATAGCAACAACAAATCAAGCTACCTGGGCAGAAGATCGGCTGGAGGGTGCTGAGGCAGAATTATAGATAGCGACTGAGTTGGTGTGTGCCGTTCAAGAAGAAAATGCTGAACTGACAGAGCAGATGACCACAATAAAGACCGCTGAAGAATTTCTTGACACTCAAGTGGTTTACGGGGAAGAGGGTAGGAGGGTGACGATCGAACAATTTATACGAGTTACTCCGACCTTGATGAATTCAAGGCACTCTTTAATGCTCTCTCTGTGTCGAAACACCAAAAGAAGTCAGAGAGTGATAATGTGGTGGACGGTGGATTGTCTTACACACGGCCCAATGACTCTTAGACTTGGGTTTTTCTTATACATGTAATCGAACCAATGTAATTCATGTAAACAAATGATTAAATGTATAAAATATGAATTTTCGGTCGCTATTACCTATTACCTTTTTGTTTACTAAGTTATGATGTTACTCTGTTTGCCATTCTTTAGTTAATTCATAATGTTTTTGCCCAGTTTGAGTCTTAGCTTTAGTTGCTCGAGTGTCGAGAGCCAATTTTGTTTGTGTATGCCGATCGGGTAACATGGTGTCACTGTCGGCCGTGTAGTATTTTTTATTAACCATTCAGATGACACATATCAACTTAGTTTGTTTTGGATGTCAACTCTTAAGGCAGACCTATGACTTTAGTTTTTTGACCAGCTCAAACTTTCGGTCAATCGATCTACACCTCGTATGGGGGTAGTCGTTGATAATTTTCTAGGGTGTTTTTCTTAGAACCCTTTGCAAAGCTTTATCGCTACTGAGCTGGTAACCATCTCTGGAAGCTAGTCCTAAAAACTTTAAAAGTCAAGTTTAAGGGTTTAACAATCGAGCATCTGATTGCTTTTGCTAGTAGGCTTTTGAGAGTATTCCAGTTTCCCGAGTGTGTCTTGATGAGGGTGTATCAACATTCTGAGTTCCCCGGGTGTAGTTTAAATCTTGGGTCGCAATTGCATGGTTAGTGTTTTCTTAAAATATGTGAGAATAAAAAATTCATGAGTATATGAAGCATAAAACTTCTAATATAGTTCTTGTGTTCATGCAATGTAGGTGGTTTACGAAATTTTTTTTTGAGATCATCTCCACTCCATCTTCTATGAATTTTTTTTTCAGCATGCGAATTTAAGTTATAGGCTCTTAGGGCGACTTTTTTTATCAATGATGAATAAATCGGTCCAAGTTTGATCAAGTTTACCTGCTGATCGACTACATGCTGTTAGATCAACTTTCTTCAGAATCAGATCACCGAACAAGAATATCTTTTCTCTGACGTTCTTATTTTAGTATCGAGCAGTCATTCTCTTTACTTCTTTTTGTCAGAGTGCTGCTTTGGTACGAATTTCTTCTAATAGGTCGAGGGCGAGCATCATTCCTTCATCATTTGGCTCTTACCAGCCAGTGAGATTCTGCTTTTCGAAAGTGGTGGCCGTGACGACTCTCTGACTATGGTGGTTGTAATCGACTGACAACATTGCCTCCTCTTGTCCAATCGTCTGGGATGATGTACATACACAAAATTTAGGTTAATTTCCTAATTTTGATAGAAATATTTTACCTCCTGATCAGTCAATTGTGTTCCACTGTCGGTGATAGGTTCTAGGGGTAAGCCATACCTGCCAACAATGTCCCTCCAAATGAAGCTTCAAACGACATCTGCGGTAATCTGGGTGAGAACTATTACTTCTATCCATTTTTCAAAGTAATCTACATTGACTAATAGCAACTTGCGCTGGCCTTTTGAAGGGGGAAACAGTCTAATGATGTCAAATCCCCAGATGGTAAAAGACCTTGGATTGACAATTGGTTGCAGCTTTTGGGTCGGCTGATGCTACTATGGAGCATTTCTGGCACTACTTGCATCTCCACGAAAACTCTTCTGCTTCTTTCACGAGGATCGACTGGAAGAATTCTTGCCTCTGAACTTCATCTGCTAAGATCTTACCTTTAGAATGACTCCCACATTCGCTTGAATGTATTTCTCGGAGGATTTCTTTCGTCCTATTTTCTTTTAGGCATCTTAGGAGTAATGAAGTAGTTGACTTTCGAAAAAGTTTATCTCCGATGATGAGATATTTTGTAGACTTAAATTTGAATCTCCTTGGGTCCATTATTTCTTCGGGGATCTTTTCACTATTTAAGTATTGGATGTAAGGGTCTATCCAACTTTTTTTGCTTTCAGCTTTCACCTCCATGGTTTATAGCTCCTTAACAGTCGGTCGGATAAGCCTTCGGGTGTCCTTTCTCCAAAGCAAATGTTTTTTGACCGATGGTCTGCCACTTGGTTTTCTTCTCTTTTAACGTGTTCTATTCTGAAGTTTGCAAACTTCTCTATTCCCACCTTTGCATTTTTCAAGTATTTGATCATTATCTCGTCCCTGGCTTCGAATTCTCTATTGACCTAATTTACCATCAATTGAGAATCACACTTTACTAGCAAATGTTGGATGCTCATTTCAAGAGCTAAGCGTACACCAACTATTAGCGCTTCATATTCTTTCTGATTGTTTGTAACTTCAAATTCGAGGGCGACCGAGTGATATAGATGTTCTCTAGTTGGACTGCGTAATTCCAATTTGATGTCTGCACTTGCCTGGCTCGAGGCTCCATT